CCCCGTCCCCCAGCCTGCAGACCTCAGGCTCCTCCACGGCCGCCGAACTCACGGATGTTTCCTGGCCTTAGCGGGGGCTGGATGGAGTGTTGATCAACTTTTCTTTTTTTCTTTTTTTTTTGAGGCGTTTGCCCCCCATCAAAAAGATGTGCTCACTCTAAATACGCAAACCTCACTTCCTGCCGCGCAGGAGGCTCAGGAACAGCGTACCCAGTGTCTTCCGTCCTCGCCATGTCTCCTCGGGGTGATGGTGACCTTCCTGAGGACGTCACGAGTCCACCAGCCCACGGGGCCCCTTCTGCACGTAGGGACCCTGGAAATTATAAAACCAGCAGCAGGACTTCTCTTCGAAGAAGTAGCACCAGAAACCCTTGTGAGGGGAAAGGGAGGGGCCTCAGAAAATGCCCCAGGGCCTTCGCCCCTCCCTCCTGGGCCTTCCACCCAGGGACGGCCCTTCCCGCTCTCCCTCTGCCCCAGCAGCCTCAGGCGGCTTCGCTCTGCCGGCGTGGCCCCCAGGCCGCCAGGCTCAGTCAGGAGCCCACGGGTGGTGCAGAGATAACGGGGAGCCGAGGCCGTGAGTGGGAGAGAGGAGGGTCACGGGCTGAGCCCCCATGGCCCAGCGCAGGTGCCGGTGCTGGGCCTGAAATCACTCAGGGCCTGACTGCCCCCCACGATCCCCGTCAGCAGCGCTCCCTGCGCCCACCCCACGTGAGGCACCGGGGCTCCCTCCTCACGGGCACCAGGCTTTCACACGCTCCAGGGCTTGGGCCTCCCGACTCCGCCCTTGTCGCCTGGTCCCGGATCCCCGTGCTGTCCGGTGTGCGGTGCCCGAAGGTTTGCCCCCTGCGCCAGGCCCGGGTGAGGCCCCAGGTCCCCGCTCCGTACCTGGCGGCCGGCTTCGTTTGTTTGCTCTTTGCCAGGATAGAATTCTGCTTAAAACACTTTAAGGGAAAAGCCACTGTGAACGAATGTGCACCACAAGCTGCTGTGAGTGAGCAGGTGTGAGCGTGGCCGGGGACCGCGCGGGGACTCGGCGCAGAATGGAAGTAAAGGCTTTGCCGGGCAACCTGTTTTTCTCTGAAGTGTGTAAAGAAATACTTGACAACTAGGCCTAAGGCTGTATTCAGATTGTCAATAAAAGCATCAGAAAAGCTTTTGGGTCTGTCTTTGAAGATCTCTTTCCAGTAAATGCTGGCAGTGCGGGAGGGGAGCCCAAGACGCCAGCAGCCCCCCGCCCCCGCCTTCGACGCCGGTCGGCAGTGGCCTCGTCGCCCGCCTGGGTTTGTCAGCGGCACCTGCACTCACAGCTCAGGGCCCACCTTGTCGCTCCTGTCTGTCTGGTCACCCAGCTCTGCCACCTTCCCGGGGTCAGTGGCTTATCTCTGGAAGTCACAGTAGGTACCTGACCGTTGTGAGGGTTAAACGGGAACCCAGACCACGGACCCGGGACGCGGGTGCCCTCCCCCCGTCCTCTCACCTTCCTTCGGCTCCACATGTCCCCCCAGTCACCCCGGGCGCCCACCTGGCTTGTTCCTTCCCTGCGGACCTCCCCTCGCCCCAAACATCCCGGCCCTGCCCTGCGGTGTAGACTCATGCAGGGAGTTTAGCAAGTGAGACTGTCCAACTGGGGAAATAAAGGGGAGAGAGAGGCGAGGTCGTCACAGATGCGGCCGGTTCGCTGGTACGACAGGCGGCTACGTTAGAGAGAATTCAAAACGCAGTGTGTGTGTGGAGGCTGCTTCTCCTTTCAGTGGCGATCGTTCAGTCTCCATGATTGGGATGTTTAACCCCATGTAAATAAAGCGCTTTTCCCTTCTTTGTTCCCTAAGTGCAACTTTACCTCAACCCGCCAGCCCCCGAGGCCTTGGGGGAGCACAGGACGCGAGCAGCGCCGGCCGAGGGCACGGGACCCAAGGTCAAAGGCAAACGTTCTAGAAATTTCCACCTTAGGAAAGGGCGTTGCTGAGAAGTGGAGCGACTGCCAGCGTCAGATGTGCCCCTGCGCGGACCTGTTAGGATCACGCCCGGACGGCGGGCCCAATGTCGGCCCGGCGCAGAACCCGCTCAGCCACACGAGCCGCTCAGAGGGCCGGGCCGCTCCAGCCGGGGGACCTGGGAACCCACAGGGCACAGCGTTCAGAGTCCCCGGGTTAGAGACGCAGGCGCTGCCTTTCTGAGGGAAACGATCTCGCTGGCGGCATGTTTGTGAGGGCGTCTTGAGGGTAGGTGAGTCCATTTCCCCCGAATAGGAAAATCGGCAGCTGCACGTCCGAGGTCTTGTCCCTCAGTCCTGGGGCCTCAGTCTAGCTGAGGCCGGAGCTGGAATGACACGCGTGATCCAGCTCCCGCACGACGCAGGTGACGGAACAGGGACATGCGTCTCTGCTGCACCTTGAGCCGGGAGCCGCGGGGACCTTCCCTTGGCCTTCAGTCTTGAAAAGCGTGTGGATTTCTCATGGGAAGATCTACACCTCCCTTTGGGAGTGAATCTCTTGTTTAAAAACATCCGGTTCGAGTTCATGACACTGGTGGCGATCGTTTACCACATGCTCCCGTGCCAGGCGCTCTGCTCAGAGCTGGACGCGCTCAGCCGTCTTCCTCCCCCGGCCCAGCCCTCGTCTGACCGGGAAGAAGGACCCTCGAAGGGACCGGCCTGCTCGAGGGCGGCCAGCTGGGCGCGGCCTCCCCTGCTTCCTCGGAGGCTGAGCTCTGGGTCCTGACCCACTGTGCCCAGGGCACCCCGCGCAGGGACAGGGACAGGGACAGGGGCTGGGACTGCCCGCGAAGAGATTCCGTTCACCTGCACAGGTGGCCTCAAAAGGAGAGCCGCGTGCCCGGCGGGAGGAGCTTATGCTGCAGGGTTATCTACTCACCCAGTTACCCAGGTTCAATCAGTTGGCTTTTATTCAGCTTTTAAGAAATACACCCGACTCCCACGTTGTGACTTCCCGCGGTGCACTGAAGCACGGGTCCCACGGGTCCCCGGAAGGCTCGGTGGCCACGTGAGACGCGACCGAAGACTGTTTCCTAAAGACGCAGGCTGACCTGTCAACAGTTCCCCTTCCTGGCTCTCACCCGAGCCCAGCTTTGTCCCTCACGGAGGGAGCGAGACAGCATCTGTCATCCACGTAGTTGGCGGTTCTATCGGTTGCCATTTCATTTACCCAGAATTGTGATTGTTTTGACTAATGTTTTTCTTCATCACTTCCTTTAAGAAGTCCATCTTTGGGTTTTAAAGATAAAGGATAGACTGATGCATTTTATAAAATAACCACAACGTGGCCGCCCTTCCACTCTTCAAGTCACCCTGCCGCCTGATCAGTGGTGGTAGATGTTCTTGTCACTGTCTCACATCCTACGGGAAATTATTCCCGCATCACAAGATGGAACTACTTGGTTTTTATGCCCCGCCTTCTGCTTTTTTCGGGGGG